GCAGCCGCTTCATACCCATGTCTTCGCTTCATATTTTAATTAGCAAATGAAGCAGTACGAGCACCAGGTACAGTCGTCCACTTGTAGGCGGCGGACGTGGTGGGCGTTTGATCGCTGTGTTGTGGCTTGATAGGACCTTACCTCCCTTGGGAAAGGCGCCGCAGAGTCTGCTAAGGGGCGGAGAGTTCCGTCCTGGCACGCGTACTGACCATACTCGTCTTCACGGATTTATCGTGCCAACTGCCTTTGAGCTCCTCTTTTTGCAATCATGTTCGAGCTTCAGTGACTTAATTCTGACTACTTTTTAAGGATTAATATCGCCACAGTTCACCGAGCTTTTCAAGCAGAATATCAACCACCGACGTGATGAGCGGTTTTCTCGACAACTTGCGGTGGAGAGGACGAACGTGCTGATGAGGCAGTTGTACATGAAACAGCCTTTCATAGATTCTGTGGGTTTTACTCTTACCTTCAAGCAACCCGAAAAACAGAGGAAATCACTCTATATCTCAACGGACACCGACAGCCAGAAATCCAGTGCTTCATCGAGTCTCGAGAACACCCTTTGTAATCATATTGTTACGTGCGTATGTGAGGTAGCCAAGCCAGCGCCTCAAAGCACTGTGGCACACTCGCATTCCAGAAATGGCTAACTAGGATATTGAGAAATTTTTTTCATCGTCCTTCACGCTCCCTTCAGACGAGAGACGCTCAGAGACACTCCCCTGCGACTGCATACCGTAGGTAACAGTGTTCAAAAACAGGAGTGTAGTTATCTAGGTTCCTGAGAAGTGAGAAAAAAAAGCATAGAAAGCCGCCCTCAATACGCTCTCTTTTATGCATTCGATCACGATCACTGGACGAAAGGAAAACGGTCAAGATCAACAGTGATGTGGAGAAATTGGCTTAATACTGTAAAGCGCGGAGAGAAACCGGAAATGGATGGGTGATATAGCACAACGGCCATATTGCGGCGACATGAGCAATGTAGGAAGGTAAGTGCCACCGAGCCTGAAATCAAAGTTAATGGTTTGCGTGCCATTTTCCGAATTTTGAATGCAGCGGAGCTTCTACACTCGCCTACCGGGTCATCTGACACATTTAGAAGTTATTGCCTCAGTTTCGCGGAGCGTGTCTTCAAGGGAAGTACCGTGTGACGGACGTGCATTACTCGATCGTAGGTATCTCGAGAAGCAGTTTTGACACGCTTACGTCCGTCGATCTCGCGTGAGCCTTCGCAGCCCTTTCATTCGCAGGGTTCCTGAAGGCATTAGGAAGCTTGGACATCCTCTGTCTCCAATTGGAAGTCGCTCAATCTTCTCACAGCTGGGACGTCCTCGACATACCGGGTTGGAAAGTCCCGATGAGCGACCGGCACGTTCAGGGTCCCAGGAGAAGTAGTCTTCGTTTGCCGAGGTCAGCTTCACCCTTTGTGTAGACCATCCGCATACTGACTCGCACAGAACTGCGGCGACGGGTTCTGCCGGCGGCTCATTACCGGGTGCACGTCGCTAGCTTTTAACACTGATACTTTTGGCGCACCTTTCATGATTGCTGATGACGGTTGCTGGACAGTCAGCCGGCGTTCACACCGTAGGCCTGGACGCTTGGTGTGATCTGCATGCATTATATGGGTACAACATATGGCACGCCGTAGTATTCGGCCCTATACTCGTGATTGCAAGTGATGCTGCTACGGAATACGCTTCCGAACTCGATTCGTTCGTAAGTCTTTAGAGAGCGGAAGCTTCTTGGTTTTCGGCTAGCGTTTCAAAAAACAGGAGTGTAGTTATCTAGGTTCCTGAGAAGTGAAAAAAAAGCATAGAAAGCCGTCCTCAATACGCTCTCTTTTATGCATTCGATCACGATCACTGGACGAAAGGAACATGGTCAAGATCAACAGTGATGTGGAGAAATTGGCTTAATAGCGGAGAGAAACCGGAAATGGATGGGTGATATAGCACAACGGCCATATTGCGGCGGCACTATGGGCAATGTAGGAAGGTAAGGGCCACCGAGCCTGAAATCAAAGTAGATGCTTTGCGTGCCATTTTCCGAATTTTGAATGCAGCGGAGCTTCTACACTCGCCTACCGGGTCATCTGACACATTTAGAAGTTATTGCCTCAGTTTCGCGGAGCGTGTCTTCAAGGGAAGTACCGTGTGACGGACGTGCATTACTCGATCGTAGGTATCTCGCCCTTCGTCATCTGGTCTCTCATTGACGTGCCCACTTTTCCACCATCGTGTACTCAATCAAATATTTCTTTCAAAGCGACAGCGGAACAAAGGGACTCAGACTGTCGTTTGAGATTCCTCCTGCTTCAGTTTAGGCCCGAATGCTCATTTCCGAATCTTTTCAGCATGGAAATTTCCTAAAATAGTCAAGGCTTTCAGCGACTGTCGCCAACCAAGTGTACTATCGCGCCGAGGGTTCCCATTTGTGCAAAGGTTGACTTCGTTGTGGTTGTTCATGTGCGGGCGGAAGATGCTCTATCGAGAACTAACTGGCGAAGTACGTACGGCGCCGGGCAATTGAAAAGCCAGGTAATTGTCTTGCTTATTCTCTAGTAAGAGAAAAGGTACTTCAGACGAGTATACTTTCAGTTCAACTACACTATTCTATTTTCTGTGGGTAGGCCAAGCTTACCAAATGATCAGAGGATTATCGAGGAGGAGAGCGCTCTCTACGACGACGTTCTGCAGTTCGACTTTAACGATAGCTATCGTAATATAACATTCAAGGTAATTCTTTCGCACTCGTTACTATTAGGTTGCGTTTATACTTTGCGACAGCGTAGGCCAGCGCTCTAGCGTTCGCCAGCGGCAGTGGCAAGAAAGGATAGATATGGTAGCGAGGGCAAGCGAAGCATAGGTATCGATCTAGTGTCTAGTACGGTCTTGCCCACTAATGTGATGCGGCTCCACACGCCGCAATTTTACAGCGCATAATCGATGTGTTTGTCACTCTCCTACTCTCTCATAGTTTACTCCCCGCCGCTGCAAATGCTAGCGAAACGCTGAAAAAGCTGGATTGATACGCCAGCGCACGACAACGTACCGCTCTAGCGCACGCTGGTGACGCTAGATTGATATCTATCCTTTCTTGCCACTGCCACTGGCAAACGCTGGAAACGCTAGCGTACGCTGGGGTACGCTGCCGCAAAGTATGAACGCAGCTTAAAAATACAAGAAGGCTATGGTCCCTGAATTCTCCGACGGGGAGGTTATGTATAGTCCTGCCCTCCAACCACGGCACACCATCGTTGTGATCATCACAACAGGGGGGTCGTATTGGAGCTCGAGGGAGGGGGGTCGTAAGCGCGGAACCTTCCCGAAATGTGGGTGCAACGATACTCAGATGTCGTTCAGCTTCAATGATGAAATTGTTATCCATGTGAAGAACCCCTAAAGAGACCCGCACAAGACAGAAGCGACGATGGCCTCCCACAACGACGTCATGAATTAATAAAAAAAGGTAAAGGATGTAGTTTCCGGCTTTGATTAATCCCTTTGCGGGATGCGGCACGCATCCTACTTCCATTCAGATTCGCAGTGGCTTACTGAATGCGATGTGGCCTATACAATGAATTGCGGTAGCCAGCGATGTACAAGTCAGTATTTTATCCTCCCAGACGAATCTGGTACCAATTAACCGCCCCGCAGGGTAGAATGCTTGTTTGGCCTAGGCGAGAGTCCACCCGGTATTTGAACCCGGCATCGTGCGAGTGGTAAGAGTGCCACTTCTCACTACACCTGTGCGTCAATGAAAATTCGTCATGAGGTAATGAAAAAGATGAAAGTACAATCCGAGTCTTTCTGATCGCGCACATGTGCTTGCACATAGGAAGCCCTTTCTGGTTGCACCTTCCCAATAGCTCCGCGTGAAAGCGCTATGCATGGCGCATTGCTGAGGTGGTGCTATCTGGTTCCCGACGAACTATTTCCCCGATATCATCCGCAAAAACATGCGTTTCAGATGCATACCAAAGTCTTTAAGCCAAGCGGAGGTTTTATGGCCTCGGAGGGGCTGACTTTTTGTGTCGGTGGGCAGTGATCACGCTGTGATCACAACGGGGAACATTTTCGAACAGCAGGCCTAGGGACAAAATGAATGCTGTGCTAAGTAAGGAGGTTCACGCTTCTGGCACAGTTCCTCTTTATACGAAAGGCCGTGTATGAAGCTTGCCATGGATGTCCAAATCGTAGCGACTTGTGTTGGCCCTCCATGATCACGCAAGGATCACAACAAAGAAAAATTCCTGAAATGAACAATTTTTGAAATCGCTTAAAATCAGGTAACAAGTGCCAACCTAGTTCTCCTCATACCTGCCTTCTCCTTTCCGAAAGCTTTATTCTCGAAGAAGTTATGGATGTACAAGCGAGGGGTACTTTCCGAGTGTTTGGCTTAAAATTGGCTCCGGGTCGTAAAATAGCGCGCTCCAATACGCTTGTATTAGCGCCATGACCGCGAACAATTAGTATTCAAACTGGGCAGTGAAATCATTATCGACTCGCCCGAGTTGTCTCTTGTACGGCGTCATTGTTTTGCACTGCTGAGACTCGTGCCATTGCGTACACTGCGGAGCTACAGTAACCTCACGCCTACTTCCATTACGTTGGGGACGTAGCATCTTAAGGAATTTTGGTGATTGTGATTAACGTGTGACATCCATGAGTATTTTTTAGTCTTAGACTCTTCCTGTGCAGTAGCTCCATGGGCGTTTTCGAGGAAGGAAGCGGTATCATTAATAACCGAAAGGTATCTCTATTATCAAGTTGAAGAATTGCGTGTGGTTTCGGAAGCATTCAGTATTTCCTCCTGCGTATCGTCAATAAGCTGGAACTTCTAATGAAATGCTCGCCCAACACTTCCTTAGCTGTGTTTTAGCAACAAATACCGACGATGCAAAACAGAACAGTTTGCAATGCACAGGGGGGAGGGGTAGTATCAAGACCCTTAATTGGAGGGGGGGGGGTCGTATTTATCAGGAAAACGCAATGGCGTGCCTTGCCTCCAACTACTCTTGTCAAATAGAGGAGAACGGTCCGAGGAAGGCGTATAGCTGAAGGTTAACAGCTCATGGGAACAGTTGTGCGGTGTTGTTCACAGCGGGTGACGCGGCGTGTGGGGTGATGGGCTTCGCGTGGGCCTGCTCGACTTTTTTCTTTCCGGAAAGCGACGAGACTGTCTAATATCGCTCGCATCAGTAATTTACCACCGCTAGCTACTGTCGCTTACTCGCTTCAACAATTAGTGGAGAACGAGCTGCTCGATAATCCACAGCTAACAAGGCTGCCTTGAAGCAGCAGCGATAGTGGTCTTACCAAACGACCAATGTTATTCAAGGCCATGAAACTTCTCGCGTCTCTACAAGAATGCACGCAGGGAGCTAGAGGAAATACTTCTGTTGGTGCCTCGAAAAGGGGCAAATGACTTGCGCAACAGTGGGGTTGTCTTCCTCAAGGAGAGAAGCACTCCTCGGTGCGTAGTGCCCCCTCTTGAAGCTGCAATCCGGTCCGATGGCTAACTACTTCTTGATCTACCTAGAGCACGCGCTTTTTTCGCTGCTAACGTTATTTTTGTTGTTGAAATCCCGTCACTACCCTGTTACTGCAATTAATACACTCTCCTCCACTAGCTCCTGGCTGACGTTTGTGAAAAGCTGGTATGTGCGAGATCACAGTGGTCTTAGGGATGAAGACAATGTCAAAATGACCATTTGTTGTAAATGAGACATAGTTCAGAAGATGTGATTTTGTGAGCTCATATCGACTTTGTCTTCGTGATTCGCAGAACAATTTTCATTTCGAAGTTATATAGATTTCCCCTCGTGTCTTTCAAGCAATCGTGGGGTCGAATCCCTACCAGGCTGCAATTTCTAGTTGAGTACTCAACAACCACATGACGAAGGATGCGTTGCTGTGATACTCTATGATATGTGTTACCAGTTTGGCCGACACGCATGGCTGCGCGTCCAACGGTACTGTTTGATGACAGAATTTCTGTGCTGACCACTGAGGCTTGGCCTAAGTCCGTGTTCGGAATTCGGCAGTTTGGCAGTTCACCTTTTTTAAGTGAGCATTTGCCAAGTCCGATCACCTATCTAAGCACCCACCTTTGTGAGAAATATGACGGCCCAGTGGCTGAAAGAGTTTTGATGGTAACAATATCGAAATCATAGTGAAATGTACATACATTCTAGTACGTCCTCGGAGCAGCTTTTGCATATCAGCCTGTTTGCGACTCGGTCTTTCCTCAGTGGCGAACAACTCCGAGCTTTTACTTTTTGTTGAAACTCAAGGGTTTAGCGGGTGGATCAATTGTAACTGTATCGCCAAAGGTCTGCTTCGCTAACTTAGCCTTTGCGTTTCTTAGACAGGGTGGTCAAGCTTATGTCAGTCGCAGCGGAGTAAGGAGGCGAACAACTTTCAGCTATTATGAAACCTTATCGGGCATTATATCACAACTAATCTTTCGTCACTAAGACCTCCCTCCATGCTCCCTAACCAACTCCAAATAACCCGCTCAAGGGCAGTTTTCCAGCTTACGATTCGTTCAAGGGCTATGCTGTCTTTTCAGCTGTTATCACGTCCTGCCACTCGCTGATAAAGCTCCCATCCTGTCCCTATCTTACTTCTCGGAACCAACGTTCCACGACGAATATGAAGTCGCTGTGACGAATATGAAGCCGATTACCCTCCGTTTGTGAAGCCCCGGGTATCTTGTTTGCAGTTATTACCTTCCGCCTTATTGCTACCTTCCAATAAAGTTTTCATCCAACCTCCAATCTTACTTCTTGAAACCAACGTCCCACCCTCGCTGTGCACACGTTATGAAGTCGGTGATCCTTTCTTTGTGAGGCCCTTTATGGTATTTCAAGAGTTTTCATCGGTTCCTGCCATCCACCAATGATGTACCCATCCTGCCTCCTATTTCTTCATAACCAGCGACCTACCGTCGTTGTGCCGACCTTATGAAGTCGATTACCCTCCTTTTGTGGGGCTCTAATCGTATCTTACCCGCAATTTTCACGTCCTACCACCCATCAATAACGTACTTATCCAACCTCCTATCTTATTTCCTGGAACCGAAGTACCACCATTGCTACCGTCTGCGCTATGAAATTGGTGACCCTCCCTTTCTAAGGCTCCCTATGTTATTTTATCAGCTCTTATCACTAACTGCCGCCAGTCAATAGTGCTCCTTCCAAGCACTCACATCCTTTTGAGATGTCTATCGCTGTTTTAAAGGGAACATGAGTTTCCGGTCAAACACACACATATGCATATATACAGACACATGCAGACTAACATAGCGGATTATATATAGTAGGATCCTATTTAGTACTGAAGAAGGTGATGTTGGCAATTGACCTGGAACTCACTACTCCTTCATTAGCCCAGCTGCCGTCACATTTGAGCAGAGTAACGATTTCAACAATTCCATCTTTTTCCCATCTCTGGGCTACAGATTATATAATTTCGTTGCACTTGGGCTTGTAACCCAGAAGAAGAACCGGTCACGTAGTTGTTTGTGGCACATATCACAGACGTTTTCGTGCCAAGTGAGTGTCGTTTTCGTGTTTATTGAGTCAAACTGCGCCTATTTACAGGTATTAGATTGGTTCGGGCATTTTGACCTGATTAAGAAAAGTGAAGCGTCCATGAGCTGCACCTTGAGTCAGTCCACACCCATTCAGCCACAGATGCATTCTCATCTGTGGCTGGCTCATCTCGCCACTTCTGACCGTATCATT